CCCCCTCCCCCTCTTTTCCTTGTTTTTTTTAAAAAAAAAAAAGGAAAGAAAAAAAAATAGGCATATGTTTTTACTTTAAAAAAAAAAGTTTAAAATGTAACATTGTGAGAAAGCAACCATAGGAACTCCTGGCTCTATTGAAGTCTGTCAGAACTCCCATTGACTTTACTGGGGCCAAGATGTCACCCCTGAGGTAGGCCAGGCTGACTGCTGTCTTGTTCCTCATGTATCAACAGGTGGTCGGAAGTCCTCACTAAGCCCTGCGGGTCTGTCTGGTTTGTGCTGATGCATCGGCCTCTAGCTACCGTAGTTCTTTACCTTGTAAGTGTTTGCTAGTTCTGCACCAGACAGTACACATTCACCTTTTCGTAACAGTGTTGATTTGAACGCTTTAAAAATAATCTTGTACCAAAGACTTTTCTGTAGAAAAGAAGGAAGCCACGTATTGTCCAAAAATAATTGAACTAGGTAAAAGCTACAGGTTTGAAGAGCTGAATACATTTTATTGTATAAGTAGTTACTAACAAAAAACAATAGGGCTTCTTGATTGTAGCAGGTGAGTGCATAGATGAGTCGTCTGCTTCTACGATTTTAACTACCTTGTTGTTACAAGAGCCTTTAAAGAAAGTTATAATACCAGCAGATATCTCCAAAGACTTCCAAGTGTAATTTTTTTCTCCAGCATGCAGCAGATCAACAATATAGTATTAAAAAAAAAAAAAAATATTTTTTAACAGTTTTTTATCTACTTGCTGAAGAAAAAGAAAACATTTTCACCAAAGATTTATTTTTGGTCTAGTCAGGCAGAATGTTTAGTGTACAGCAAGTACTGTTTCTAGTTAGGTAAAGTGTGTGAATTAATCAAAACTAGATTAAAAATGTGTAACTGTAGCATGAAGTTTCACACTTCATCTTTCAGAGTAGCTTCTTTTGTTAGTTTCATTCCGAAAGAGCTGATATGCAGATGGTGACTGCTTCTCCAAAGACTTGTTTGCTGTAAGTACTGATAATCAGATGTAATTTTATGACCTTCTTTACAGTTAAATACTTCAAATCCCAAACTTTTTCCTCCAGAGACCCACTCTGTAGTTTAAGCCATGGAGAGTTTAAGAGAAACAGACTTCATATAAAATTTGTTAAGCTAGTGCTCGAACTTCAATAGCCAAAGAGTTGAATATATTCAGTGTATTACAGAGCAGTGCATCCAGAGCTCTGTTCATCACTTAATGTTTTATTAAGGTACTTTTTATCAGCAAATAAAGAAAACCAAAGATATTTAAGGTTACCTCAGCATATAGGCAAGCTTAGTTAGACATTAATTATTCTGTCTTTTTCTTTATTTTTATGTTAACCAAATATGTTTCTCCAGAACCCAGTCTACATTCATGTGCTTCCTTTGCTTTGTCACATAGTCATGATTACTACAAAATAAAAAATATGTTCTCCTCAAAATTCATGGCCTGTGACTAATATATCACCAGATTTTGCGAGAGAAAATTTGTCTTATGATTGAAAACTTCACCAATGTAAGCAAAGGAATCTCCAGAATGATTATGTAGAAATTGATGCTTTCTCTATTGAACTCAATAGCAGAATCAATCCTTTGTGATTGTAACAGTGCAAAATTGGGCTCACAGTTTAAATGCTTCATATCCTTGAAGCCAACACATGTAATTATAGATATGATATTACAGAGTGTAATTTTCTTAAAAGCTTATAGTTGTGGCTATCTAAGGAAATCAGTTTTTCATATGTAAACTTTGTTCATTCCATTTGCCTAGAAAGAGCTTGCAGAACACAGCAGGCAGAATAGTTTCAGGTTTTCCAGTATATTTTTCTTGGTTATGTCTGTAGAAACTGGGTCCTGGAGAAAAAATTATCATTTTTTAATTATGAATTTTACTAAATATGTTCTGGAAGATGAACATAAATGTGGAATTTAGTGTTACACTATGTGAATTGATTTTTTCAAAGTGTATTAAGAACTAAGGAGCCATGGCTGGTGTAATGAGTGTATATGCAACCCTTGTACTTTAAAAAGAAAGCAAAAATGTTACAGCTGATGTGACTTGAAAAGCATCAAAACTTATAGAGGAAATCTTGAAACTGGCTTCCACGCTAATTGTGGTTCCAGCTGAGGACTCTGCCCTTCAATTGCAATAGCAATGTCTGTTCTGCAGGACCTGGATCCAAAAGCAAACGCTCAGTCTGCCCACAGTTACACTTGTGTACTTCCTGCATATTTACCAAATAAAAAGTATTCTCATCTTTCAAGAGTTAGCCAGGAGAATTGGGAATGTGTATGCTGTGTAGAACAGGGCTTATCAGTTGATTTTTTTTTTTAATAGCTCTGCTTTTGTAAGAGAAACTTGAAAAATCTACATATCACTTTTAATAATTTCCTATATTAGCTATGCATTTTCTGTACAACTTGTAAGATTTTAACAGAAGAGAGTATCGAGATATTTTTTTACCTGTTTTTAATTATTCTCTGTAGTTCATTCCCCCTTTGGCTTTATTCTCTTGCTTTAGACTGAGCTAAATCTTGTTTGCCTTATTCAAATCAGGGTCCTCATCCTGTTTCTTTTTAAGTCAATGGGAGAATTAATTTTTATTTCAGTTTGCATGGTCTGGACAGACAAAATCAGCTTTTTGTTTGTTTGCTTTTTAAATCTTCACAGTATTATTATTTTTAAAGGACAGAATTCTTGTGTGGTTAAAACTCCCATTGGCAAGTGGATTTTTGTAAGATAACAAGTTACCATGCATCAGAGGTCCACTGTAACTCACCATGCATCCAGTCTCAGCCTGCAGGATAAACACTTGAGTATTTCAAGTCAGTTTACTTCTTTTTCATTGCAAACTAAGTCAACTTGACTGACTTACCACTTGCTGCGACCTGAGCGTACACAAGCGTAGTTACCATGGTCTTGCTGGTTCTCAGTAACATTTTATGCTAAGCAAACTTGTGAGCCCTAAGACCAGGAGCTCTTGCTCATTTTGTTACAGATTCATGCAGGGAAAAGTCCACCTCCTAACATGGGGAATGTTGGTAGGTTTTGTAGGGCACTCCATGCTTAGCAAAAAATCTCATTCACACCAGCTGAAGAGAGAGCTGCACAGGTGTAACTCTGGTGGTATTTCACAGAAATCAATTTACTGAAGTTATTCTAGTAAAATTGAAAGGAGAATGACACCTAGTGATTGCTAAAGAGGTAATTCTTAGTGTGAACAATTGTTACACACTAGTTGCTACAACTGCAGCTCTGCTAATAGCAAGCAATTTCTAAAGCAGAGGAGTTGGACTGCAGGAAATACTGAGCGCCCTTCTATAATAACAGGAGTTTAAAATATATTATTTATGTAACTCTATATTTTGGAACACGTGTTTCAAAAAATACTATTCTTCAGTACAAGTCCAAAACCAAATCACTTTCTGTTAATAGAGGCCTATATGAAAAGAACACAAATTCAATTTGGCTCAAATGCTAGTAAGTTTATTTCTTGGGAATTCCTCTAGATTTACACTGAGACTGGCCCTAATTGACTCAAAAGGGATGTGAACACACGCTTAAAGTTTTGCTGTGTTGGGCCTTTTGGTTCCATTGCGAGCTGTGCTCGCTTGGAAGTTTTCAGCTTTTCATGGTTGCATATACCCGCATGGCATCTGCCTGGTGTATTTTCAGTAAAGACTGACTGTATATGAAAAACTGACTTATACAAATGTTGCTGTTTGATTGTTTGGCTTTTGGTTTTTTTTTAAAGTTGTGAATGAATTGCCAGTGTAGGAACCAGGTATGTATCTCACATTGTGGTGTTCTGGATCCTTTCACTCCGTGTGCCATTTTCTTCTAAGGGCAGCAGTGGCTGACTGGCTAATGGAGGATGGAGCTGAATTGTATTAATTTTATATTTGTCTCAGGGGATCAGCTCTGTGAATTCCATTGCATGAGGAAAGCTAATGTTTGCCCTGATTTGAATGTAACTTTTTAATGTCTTTTAAAAACTATTTTGTTTAATAATGTGGATTTGTTTTTGGGGTTTTTTTTTTCCTCCTAGCATTCTAGTAAGTGTTACCTAGCGTGTTGGTTCATTTTTCCCTTCCAGGGTTGTTTATATACTACCCCAAGGTCATGCCAAAAAGTAATAGAAGTTTAAATGCCAAATGTTTATGAAACTGCTGTCTAAATACTGATTGATTGCACAGTTGAAATAAAAGTTTTCCTTAGTAAAACTGCTACTTGGTAAATATTTTATTTTTGGTGTCTCTGACGAGTGGCTCAGGAAAAGTAAGATATAAATACAGTGCCTCATTTTAGGCTGAGTAGCTAGAGAGATGTTGGCACTTAAACTCATAAAAAGAGGTAGAGAGTGAAGTGCACATGCCTAATCATTGAAATTCATAGAACTTTCCCAAACATGTATTCATGTATCATTTACGTACCTGGAATGATTTCCCACCTAAAAACTCCGTCTGTGTCCCACTGCTGTCAAACACCCCTGCAAGATCTCTGTTTTGGTTTATTTTCATTGAATGTGGAAGATGTGGTGCACAGTTGTTCTCAAAAGTCTGGAAAGCTGCTGACAAAGCTGCCCTACTGAGTTTTTCCCAACATTTTTACACCTGCTGACTGTTGAACCTGGTATTTCAACATATGACAAGACTACGAAAATGCAGTTGCTGCTGGTCAAAAGGCAAACTGCTATTTTTACAAAGGACTACATTCTAGATGAAAGTCAAGTTAAATTAGTGAGGAAATTACGTTCTGTAGGGATGAAAAGGTTTGTATTGCTAGCAGGTTGATTACTGATTGCCACTTGAAAGCAACTGAAAAATTGGCCAGGCAGTTTAGAGAGTTAGGTACAGAGTTGCATTTAGAGTAGTGGTGCCTCTGCACATCTTACACTACCGGAAATGAAAGCTCAGTAATTACTGCTGTTGTTTACAGGGTCTCTAGAGAGAATAAAAACAAACGAGCAATGGAATCTGGACTCTTGCAATACTGAGGTAGGTTTGACTTTGGTTTTTCATCTATATTTTTCCCTAAAAGACTGGAACTCAACTTGTACTGAATATACTGAATGGGAAAGAGAAGATATTTCACTGCTATTTCACAGCTTTGCAATCACAGTATTGGGAATTGAAGATTTGAAATAAATGTTCACTAACTTTCTTCTAAGTCCAGGAAATCACAGAATCACAGAATCACAGAATAGTAGGGATTGGAAGGGACCTCTGTGGGTCATCTAGTCCAACCCCCCTGCCGAAGCAGGGTCACCTACAGCAGGCTGCACAGGACCTTGTCCAGGCGGGTCTTGAATATCTCCAGAGAAGGAGACTCCACAACCTCCCTGGGCAGCCTGTTCGAGTGCTCCGTCACCCTCAGAGGGAAGAAGTTCTTCCTCATGTTCAGACAGAAATAACTGCTTCTGAATACATTTATTTTTACTTGTTATTTTGACCCTCGCTGAGGCACGTGCCCTGTCATTTCAGGGCACGCTGTGTGCGTCCCTAGGAGACAGAGCCTTTCTGTTCTGGCAGCATCTCGTGCTGATGAGGCGGGCTGCCTGGATTCTACAGCAGAACCATGACGGCTGTCTTTCCTTCTGAATTCTCAGAAGACAAAGGAAATCCAAAAAGCCTCATCATGTTTCTTTATGAATCACAGCTGTTCTTACCTGCAGAGTCTGCTTATAGAACAGTTCTGCCTAGTTGAGTATCTTATACAACATTTATTGCTGGGAGTGTTAGAGCACCAGCTGTGGTGACTATTTGTAAAACATACTCTAACCCAAAATTCTTTATTCCTTATGTTCAAATATAGGAACACTGAAATACTGTTACTCAGAAGTAACTGAGAAAATTAGACCAATGCTGAAAAAATAATATTTTAACAGAGTAGTTGTAAAAAATGAATAAATCTTAAATATGGTAAATAGATTACATTTAAAAAAATAACAAAGAATTTCTAATAGCTAGGGAGCAGTCAGTCTTGGACTGTCCAGTGATACGAAAGCTCTAGCAGTGTGGTCCACCAAAGATGCTGTTCTTTCTCTCGGTGAGAACACGAACGAACTGCAGTTCCTGATTATGTTACTACTGGTTAGTGCAGGTACATTTTACAGTCCAGAATCCTCATTCTCAATAGCAATAAATAAATAGTAAGGCCCCATCTTTCATGGAGTTGTTATTGCAAAGGAAAACTTTAAAACAGCCTTGATTTGTGACCTGATGCTGTGCTACCTGCCCACAGTCTGCCACCAACATGAATGAGCTTCAGACAGGTGAGCTCTGTGGGCCACGTACATTGAATGGCCACATTAATTGAAACTACAACGTTGGTGTTTCTTTATTTAGTTCATCAGTGGCTTCAATCTGCAGTCTTTGCTGATCTGTTTTTTGGATAAAAGGACCAATACTTCGGAATATGAAGGCCAGCTTTCTGCCATGCTTCGCAGGTTGCTCAGCCCCCAGTAAGCAGGGAGTAGGGAGGGCAGTGTTGTGGCAACACTTCAGGATTGCGGTACGTGAAACATCCCTTGCACTACAACAGGTGAGCAGCAGTTCTTCATGGGTTAATTCCTCTCCCTGTCCTCATCCTTTCACTCCACAGGTAAAACTGGCATCTCTGTTAAGAAGCAGAGTCTCTGCCGGTATTTGGTTGCTAATGCTATGCAGAGCACCGCACGTGAATAGAACTGGCTTCCCCAAGGTCTAAATGGGGTACGTACATCTCAAAACCCACCAAATCTGGAGCTCTGATGACTGAAGATTTTGAATCTCCTTTGCACCTAAAGCCAGACATTTGCTTTCCTTTCATTTATTCCTGAAGTTGTTTCTCTGAATATTTACAAGTAAATCCACTTGGGTTTTCTGTTGGGGAATGCATAAGCATTTGTTATCAGTGGGATTAACCTATCCATATCTTATTTCTAATACATGTTGGCACTGTGCAGCCCAGTCTGTTTCCCCTTTTTCCTTCATCTGCAATCATGGTCTCAGGACTGGTGCTGGACAGTAGAGCGTAACCTCTGTCAGTAGGAGAGAAGCTGTAGGTGCCAATGCTATTGCTGTCCGTGTTGCAGTGTCCTACTCTTTCTATAATGTATTAAGATTTGGCTTCACCTTTTCCTTCCCACACAGTGAAGCGGATGGGATTTGAACCCTCCTCTCTGCACATACCTGCGTGCTAGAGCTCCAGGTAAACAAGCTCACATTTGTCAAAGAGATACTCTATTGTTTTTAACTGAAAGTGGAATGTAAGCTTTATTTAAATCCCATAATTTAAATCTTTTTTACACAGGAATGCACATTAAGACATACAGAAAATGCAAGTAATTTGGAATCTAGCTGTGCCTCAGTGAAAGTTCCACCACGCACGGATATCCCCAGTCCGTAGGATCTCCCTTGGCTGGCAACCATTTGGGTGCCAGCCCCTCTCTTGGAGACTTCTCCCCTTACTGCCAGGCGTGAATCCGTTTGGCCTGCAAGAACCAGCTGAGATCGTTTTCTGGCAGTGCTGCGAAGTGGTCCAAGTTCCTTAGGGTTTCTCTGGAGAGATGGCTCAAGTGTCACTGGAAGTCGACCAAAACTCCAGGTGCATCCAAGGGATGCTAGATACTGTAATCATCCACAGCTTTGAAGGATGAAAGTGAATTTCTGTGGGTGACTGAAGGTATGTTTCCTATTATACTGCCCCATGTGAAGCTTTAAATCGGTGCTCAAAACACTGGATTCTGCTTTAGCTGGAAATCGACTGGGTACTTCCCAGAGGTCATGTTATTAGAATGGTTTTGAATTTCCTTTAATCTGCATGGCAATACATCAGGAAGAAAGATTTTCATGAGTAAAGCAGCAGATTTCTGGCTAGGCTGCCAGGCGGTTGCACCACATGAAAGCAGGAAAACTGTTGCTCACACTACAGCTCACTACAGCCTTTAACAATTTGCATTTTGGTGTGCTGGTCTAGGAAATTAACCCCTCTGGTTTGCTGAAAGCTATCACCAGGGGATGAGCGGCAGAGCTTAATATACGCTGCCTCCTCACTTCTTGCAGTTACAGCTGTATTAGCTTAAAACAGTCCCACTGAACTACTTGCTTCTAGCTTTCCCTGTATCAGGTCACGCAATTGAAGTTGGAAGTAAGATCATTTACAGCACAGACTGCAAAATAAAAAAAAATTAATTTCCACTAAAAATTATATCATTCACGTTAGCAACCATCATGCTTTGGAACAGATCCTGAATATTTAGAAGTCAGTAACAGCTTGCTCAGTCTCTACCAAATAAAACAATCTGGCTTTGCTTTACACAAAACCCACAGTGAAGGCAGAATGAATCCCTTGAGATCAAGATTTCCAACTTCAAAGGATAAGTTAATGCCAAGCTTAAGTTCTAAATATTTCAGTTAAAATTATTCTGCAAAATCAAAAGCAAGACAAGTTCTAGTTCATAATAGGAAAGCATTCTGATAATGGCTTTTACAACACTACACAAAAAATGAATCCATTAAAGAGGAAAGCACCCTCTTCTTTTATTATACGTTGCATCTCTAGCTTTGTGATCTACCTATGGTAAAACTGAAATCGGTGAAGAAGGTCTGCATATTAGCAGCCACTGTAGCACAGCCTAGAATCACAGTCAATATTCAAGAGTCTGCTTCTGCCATTGTAAAGGCTCAGAGGTTTACGTGAACCTGGATTACCTCCGTGATCAGCTTTTGAGCACGGGCTAGAGATGGGGCAAGCACCCTGGCACCCAGCAGAGTGTGCTGGTTTGCATCACATGCTATGATTTAGAAGTCTCAGACCAAGTGACGAGGTTGCGATTTGTAGTTGGGTTGACTGGAAACAGCCTCTGAACAGGAGCACTCTGCAACTTGGTTGAGTGTTCAACAGGGTTTTAAGGGTTTGCGATGATGCTTTTCTTCTGTAGCTCAGCTGGGCCGAAACTTACAGCCCAGCCCTGCAGTTGCAGATCACTAAATGACAGGATTCCCGTAGGAACAGATGTATAGCACCCTAAACCATCTGTCTGTAAATTTCAGATTTTGGAATCGTACCCACTAGGCATAATACATGTCAAGCAATTTAATCCAGTTTGGTGTTTGTGGACAGATAGTGCATATATTTTAAATAATTAGTTCCATGTTTTCTTTTCTTGAAATCCTGGATTTCCTGTGAATTTCAGCCTGGGGATTAAGGAAGATGCTCTCAGATGTAATGGGTGAGCAGAGCATCTATGTAACTAGGTCACAGTGTACTTAAGCATATTTAGTTATCCGTTCTTGTGTTCTTCCCTACTTTTGTTGTACAATAAACAAAAGAAGTAACTAAGTTTGGTTTGTTATCTCCTCTTAAAGGATTGCAGAATTCTGAGCTTTCATAGTGGGGGTTTTTTACTGTGTTTTCTAACAATGGCATGTTTGTGATTGCCTTTTTTTTTTTTTTCTGCTTTAGCTGCATTTTCCTTTTATAGTCTACATACATGCCTAAATTCAGACACTTGTTGGTTCCTGCTTCCCAGAAGATCTCCTACTACTCAGACATAGTTACTTGTTCAAACTAGAGGTTTTGTTACTGCGTTCCAGTAAATATTTTCCTTAAAAAGTAAGACTAAGCTGTAGTTGCCAAAAAAAAAAAAAAGATATAGCACATACTGTCATGTAGCAGTCCCCTTGAATATCTACTAACTACATTAACTTGTTACTTGCTAATTGTGGAAATGCTTGGCAATTACTGCAAATACATGAGGTCTTACTGTAAAAAGATCTGTAACATTAT